GAGAGAGAGAGAGAGCATTGAGAGCGCCGTCATAGTGGAATAGGGGCCTAACTTATACTCATTACTGTAGGCACAGTGTTTGCAAGCTACAATCAAAGCCAAGAAAAGACTGCCATGTCAAACATCAAGAACCAAATTCAGCTAACTTTTCTTGTCATTTCAAGATTCTCGTCATATTTTGTTGGATTCGTTGGTATCATTGTAGTTGACATTGAGTTGACATTGCTGTATGATAGCGACTGTGCTCTGCGTGTATTTTGGGTGATGTTTATTATTTCCTTTCGATATCAGTCCATCCACAGATTCTTCAGCCGACACCAGCAGACAAAACGAAAAAATTAGGAGAAGCCCTGAGCTGGACCTGCAAAGCTACTGGAGATCCTCTACCGAACATCACTTGGTGGCACGGCAGTAACAGACTCACAACAACAAGTACAACGCAGATGGAGTCAGGCGTTCAGTACACTGAGAGCGTCTTCACTATCAACACCGTTAGCTTCCACGATAACGGGACCTACATCTGCATAGCTGGTAACATCGGGGGATTTGAGATAGCAACGTTTTCTCTCGCTGTCCAAGGTAATCTATATATATATATACAGTACTAATGTCATTGGTGTGGTGCTTGTTTGCCATCATTGAAACTTGGTACTAACTGACACGTTTTATTATGTGCAATTTATTCTGTCTCTTAAGCCAGTTACTTCTGCCCCAACTCGTTATATAGATCCATGTTGTGACTTTTATCGTCAGGTTAGGCCATGTTGTTTTGATTATATGGATGACATCCGCGCGCGCATGAAATTTCGTGTTTCCAAAAAAAAAAAAAGGTTTTCGACCATACCAATCGTACAAAAAGAGCGAATATATGTCGTATTTTGGAAAAAAAACGATACTAAAGTCATAGAATGCCGAAATCTATTTAGGAAAAGAATAAAATGTGAAGAAATGAAATTGAAGATTCAATTATTATTCGCCATACCATACTCTGTGTGTTTAGTCATTTGTTCAACCTTAATGACCAAGTAGATTTCATAATGAAGGAAACTTTTTTTGCCAAACTTATTTTATTCGAACGCTCGCGTCAGTTTTGGGGTTCCCAGGGGATGTCATCCAAATAATAAAATCAATATGGCCTTAGTTAGGAATACTTTTATCAGCGTTTTGTTTTTATCAGCCTGTAGTCCCGGTGAGTTCGGGCCCGTCTGCAGTACCTGTCGCTGTGCGTTTGGGGGTGACGTGTGTGACGTCATGACTGGAGTCTGCTCGAGAGGAGGGTGTGAAGCCGGATGGAAAGGGAACGACTGCCAAACTGGTATGAAAGTCAGAGTTTACATTTCATGAAAACATACATTGCCATGGCGACAGTGGTTATTGTTTGCATGGCACTGCCATGATTTTGAGGAAGCCTTGGTACCCTCCCCTCCCCTGAGTGTATAGTGAACGAGCCCCGGGGTCACAGAAAGTAGGGCATCCGGGGCAGACAGGTTTTCCCAAGGGTTTCCAGGAATGTGGACATGCCAACAAACAGAGCTGGGAGACATTCCTGTGGACATTCCATGCCTGTGGACAAAATTCCTGTACAATTCCTAGAGTTCTTGTAAACTGCACACAATGCTGTACCATTAGGTTCCTCCCTGAGGCGTCGCCAAAAAAACAATCCGATTTTGTACTTCCTGATAGGTCATAATTCCATGCCCCTTTGTTTCAGAATGTGCACCTGGTGAGTTCGGGCCAAACTGTACGTTCACCTGCCACTGTGCAAGCGGGAGTTCTGCTTGTGACACCATGACTGGAATCTGCTCCAGTGGAGGGTGTCAAGCTGGGTGGAAGGGAAACAGTTGTCAAACAGGTACACACTTACAAGATACCCCGCCAGTATGGTGGTCTAGATCGCAGATTGTGATTTTCGTAATCGGTAAGTTTGCCAGAGTTATTTCAGTCCGTTCTGGCAACTGGAGGGGTGATTGGCCGTGAACGCTATGTACGGACATATGGTATGGCAGTTTGGTATGGCAGTCTATATACGACAGTCACCTGCCTTTTTCTAATATTCGGACATGAATATAATTATAAATAAGAGCACTTGTACATTGGCCATCCATACGTCCATACGGTCTGCCTACATATATTTTCAATATCTCGTAGTCATTAATTAGATTAAGAGAACCTATGACGTTACCGTAGCCTCCTGGAGGAACAGTCGGTCATCAAACGTGAACATGGATTAGGGTCAAATATCACCCCTATGTGTACGGGACTATTATAAACCAATGAATCACCTTTTGCAAATAGGATTTGGTGTTAAAAGACATCAAAACTGAAATTACTGTATTTGTCCTTTCAAACGCAACACGTTCTCTACTCTAGCCTGTGGTCCCGGCGAGTTCGGTCCCAACTGTGCTAACACCTGCCGCTGTGCGGCCGGAGATTCAGCTTGTCCTGCCGACACTGGCGTCTGTCATGGAGGGTGTGCTTCTGGATGGGAGGGGGACAGTTGTCAGATCGGTGAGGGCAAGTTTTGCCTCTTTGAAGAAAATTAAACTGTTCTCCAACTCAAAAAAGAAATCAACTTACCAGAAATTTTCAACTGAATCGCTCACTCTTCATCAGCTTGATGACCCAAGTGCTGTGGACATGTGACTTTTAGCCACGTGTGACGTCAGCACTGGGTCAAAGTTCGTCGGAAGTCGGTACCGCCCCCCGTCACGGTTGAACAGCTTAATTTTCATGTATTTTACCAACTCAGATGAACTTTCATGCAAGTTTTGCCAGTTGTTTTGTTTTAATAGAAGTGCGTTTAGTCCTAGCTGCAACAACTTACGAATTTGGGATCTGATTTCCCACCCCATTAAGTTTTACGTCTGGGGTGAAATGTCATTAGTATTGTACAAATTTTGACATGAGTCGTTTGTTGAAAATTAGCCCCAGGGCACGAATTTGCAATAAACTTTTCATTATATTTAACTTATAATTGTTCAAATATGTCTCCGACTTAACAGATGTAAACGAATGCGATACTGATGCTGATAACTGCCACATCCACGCAACATGCCACAACAGCGAAGGATCCTTCAACTGTGTGTGTAATCCAGGTTACCAAGGGAATGGTACATCGTGTACAGGTTAGCCATGTAGACCTCTGGATACTCAATTATGATTAATACCTTGGGCCATAGTGTTACTACGGAAGGATGCCTATATAATTGTAATTTCATTGGTCTGCATAGAAATTATTTGGCTGAGAGCTCAAAGTGCATTTAACTGTAAAAGAATTCTGATTTTCAAAAATGAAATAATAATGTTTGAAACTGTGTTCTGTGTCGTATTCCAGAACAAATTCCATTGGTAGGGATCATCGTTGGTGCTGTGGCAGGGTTCTTCGCCATTGGTGCAGTTGGAGCGGTCGCTTTCTATTGCAGGTATACTTGCTCTAACGTTTAAAGTTTTGTAGATCTGGCATAGTACAAGTATTCCACATCTCCACAATATCTCTGTCCGTATAATGAGTTCAAAGCGTGCATATGGAAATATTACAATAACTAGAAAGGTAACATTTGCAAGGCAAATGCACAATGTTTACCTTCGCATATGGTCTGCTCTGTTAATTCTTACGCAAGCACATTCATATATATGGTGACAGGAGTCTAAATCCTTTCTACTACAAAATTGCAACATGATGTAACCCAACACCAGTTACCATGGTGAGAGACAGTCTGGTTGACCAGGTCAAAGGTCAGTGTTTAGAACGGAATAAGAAGAGGAAACTGAGCAAAAACAATATGTTTTCCTTCGGAAAAACATAACGAATTGAAATTATACCGACATACATGTAGTAGTGACGCGTTTTGTCAAACACCTTTGCATTTGCAGGAGAAGGAATAAAAACGTTTCCAAAGAAAGGGATGTACCACTGAAAGACATCGGTGATCAGCCAATAACAGGTGGTGCTAGAAATGAGGCTTTTGATCCAGAACATGGCGAGTATACAACTGTAAGTATTTTCCCGTTATAGAACATTTATCAAAGATGCAGAAACTAATGACACTGTGATTTGAGTTTCATTTGCCTTTAGGCCATGTTGATTTGATTATATGGATGACATCCTCTGGAAACCCCGAAACTGATGCGGGTGTGCGAATAAAAAAAAAGTTTGGCCACAAAAAAGTTGCGTTCAACATGAAATCTACGTTGGTATGAAGGTTGGTATGGCGAGTAATCTACTCTTCGAATTTATTTCTTTACATTTTCGTCTTTTTGGTTTGATTTTGGCATTTTACGGCATTGGTATCGTTTTCCAATGTTTTTTTTTTGCAACTTACGGTATATATTTGCTCATTTTGTATTTATTTTGTACAATTTAAAGCATTGTTGAAAACTTTTTTTGAAACGGCCGAAAATTCATGCGCGCGTGGATGTCATCCTGGACTCATCCATATAATCAAATCAACATGGCCTTAGGTTCACTGATAATTATTCAATCAGGGTCACTTTTCACTAGCTCAATAATGTTTTGAATGTTTCATTCTAACAGATTGACGAATTTTATTGTTCTCTCAGATATCTGCGCGCCTGTCAAAGATCATCACAGTGGAAGACGTACAAACGTTTCTAATTGACAATGGGCTGCAAGAGTGTGTAAGACCTTTCAGGGGTATGGTTAACATTTGCTATAATATGAGTGACGTTTCTTTTCTTTTTTTGCTACGTATTCATGTCAAACACTTGAGTGAAAACAGAATAAAATGCAACATGTTAAAGTATTACTTGTTAGATCTCGATAAGTGGCACATTGATGTGGCAATGTACATGTAAGAGACTGAAGAAGGCATTGAACATACCAATGACTGCAATGCAAATCTGGTGAATCTGTCAATATTGACTTTACATATGTACCATGTGCAGAGAACGACGTTGACGGAAAGGCACTGCGCCATCTGGATGACGCCATGCTGAAGGACCTTGTTCCTATGGTCGGACCAAGAGCGCGACTTAAAGCCGTGCTACAGGAACTCAACGGTTCAGAAATTCAGGTATGCTTCAGTTTAACACAGTCAGAATCTGACGTATTCGTTTCGCTGTTTGTTTTCCTGTTTTCGTTAAGGCCTAATTTACACTTGTCTATTTAACTGTAGTACTACACATCGTAGTCTACCACTCTATCTCTATCTCTCTCGACATACACTACACCGTTTAGTTTGTTGTTGCAGGTTTCGTCGGAGTCAACAGTCTCGACCCTCAACTTTTGGGAAATCCCCCGGTCCAGTCTGAAGCTGGGCAGGCGGCTCGGTAGGGGCCAGTTCGGCGAAGTTCGCCAGGGAGAAGTCCGTAATCGGGCAGTGACGACCACTGTAGCTGTGAAGACCTTGAGAGGTCAATAAAATTCATTCTGATCCAGTCCGATTATTTTTCCATACTGGAAAATATCCACTAATTTGTGGCTAACTCCCTCTGTCACAAATGACATATTATGATCCTTTACAAGGTTATTAAGGTTCCCAGAATTATTGGTTTGGGGTCAGACATTTGTTTCTTCGGTAAACAGAATATCATTAACATATAGTGGTAGGTAGCAACCTGTTATGTCTGACTACCAATGACGCTTACGGAACGTACTGTACTGTTATTGGTTAGTTACTGTTTTTCTTTATCATCATTGCCATTATAATTTATTTATTGTTTCCCAATTTTACTGTTTGTATGTGACTGTTGTGTTTTGTTGTGTAAAACGGGGCCCCATTGAAAAGAAGTGCAATCACTTAATGGGCCACCCTGTATAAAAATGACCGAAAATAAATAAATACTGTTTGAATTTGTCAGACTCTGCATCAGATAGTGACAAGAAAGACCTGCTGGGTGAACTGGAAATCCTGGTGACTGTTGGTCGTCATGACAACATCATCTCTCTAGTTGGGGCATGTACAAGAGACGGTAGGTATTGTGAAGTCAGGCAGTTTATTTCTGTCAATTTGCCAAGGCTACTCATCTAACTGTCAGTATTCAACTTGTTATACATCTACATATTATCTACAATGAACTTTAGACAACTTTTCATATTTGCTCTGATACTGCCACCTACTACTACTACTACTACTTCCACTGTCCGACATTTCGCTGTAAGGCTATGCCTGTAAAGCTATACCTGTTACGCAATACAGAACAAAGATACACAATCAAAATGTATCCCTGCCAATTTTAGGACCTTTGATGATAGTTGTGGAGTACGCCCCCAATGGCTGTCTGAAAGACTGGCTAAAGACCAAAGCAGAATCGGCGTGCCAGGACCAACAAGACTCCATGGAACAGCTCATTCAGTTCGGCGTCGATGTGGCCAGTGGAATGGGCCACCTAGCTGCCATGCAGGTCAGTTCTGCGGACTGTCAAAGTTCCGATTTCGACCGAAAGGGAACTACTTTAACACGTAAACGTAGTACCAAGGAATTCATGAAGTCAACACAAATGAAGAAATACTACACACACACACACTCTAGGCAATCCATACTATGGATTTCATAACGTTCCAGAATGCCTAACCGTCAAACATGGCAATCATGCCTGGGAGCAATTTTTGTTCTGTGCAATCGCTGTCATTGCCCTGCAATGTACATTATAATCTCAGTTAATATATGCCATATGAGATGGGCCATATTAGGTGTGGAAAACCACTTAAAACGACAAAAAGGAATACTAGTACGTCGACGGGATGGGGAATAGAAATACAAATAAAAAAGAAAAGTGGGTTTATTTTTCTACTATTAGTTATTAGTATTATTACAAATTATTATTATTATTATTATTATTATTAAATGAACTGTCTGTGTACTTTTGAGAAAGCTAAAAAGAAACTTTTATCCATACAGTGTGTCCATCGTGACTTGGCAGCCAGAAATATCCTTTTGGGAGAAAATTTCGTCGCTAAGGTGTCTGACTTTGGCCTATCACGTGACATCTATGAGGACAGTGAGTACGTCAAGAGTACAAAGGTAGGAAATCAATCTGCTGTTAGAATAAAGCAGCCGGATGACAGAGTGTTCAATCTTACGACCTCATACCTTCAAATTATGTTTACCTTACAACTGACAAAAACTCTAGATCGCAGATGCTTACACCAATTAGGACATCAGCCTTCGGTTCTTCCTATATACCACGACTGGTCACTATATGGAACAAGCTGAGTCCTGATCTGCGTAACTCTAGTACACAAGCCAATCTATTGTCGAATATTTTGGCATTTAGGAGATCCCTTATAAGAACCACTTTCAATAGATTCACTGCCTACTACAGCTCTGACCTTCCTTGCCCATGGTCCATGTCATATGGGTGCACGACCTCATGTTAATGAGGTTCAATAATTGTATATCTGTTTTGTATTTATTCTAATTATAATCTGTATTTACATTGTACATGTAGTGTTGGGAGGACAACTTGTAAAGGTGTCAATGCACATGTTTTGTCCTCTCTTCCACTTGAACATGTGGTAATTCAACAAATCATGTTTCTCATTTAAAATACAAATAAGATCCTCATTAGCCTGACTTAGATCATGAATTATATTATCGTCCTAATGACAGTCTTATCTTAACAAAGGCCATTCTAGCATTTCCTCATACATAATGCAAATCGAGGTCCTGATTTGAACAATCTATGTTTAATAATGTTCACCTTCATTCAACTTCCAAATGCTGCATGGAATTCCCAACAGTTATCCAGAAATTTTCTCTTTAATTATGCAAATTATACCGTAATTTACATGATTGATATATGCTGTGTTGCTGATATGTTAACCATTAACGTCATGAACTATTTTGGGCACTTTCATTCGTGCCCTTGATCATTCTATGCTACAATTGATCTGAAATGATTTCATTATTTCAGAGTAAGCTACCGTTGCGGTGGATGGCTTATGAGTCACTTTTCTACCACGTGTACACATCTCAGAGTGACGTGTAAGTACAATTCCCCTGTTTAAAGGTGACATGTAACTACGTTAGGCTCAACGAACCATCATTGACCTATGTGGCTGGTTTTTCTCGACTGAAGAAAAACCTTCTCAGGGCTCGAAATTAAATGTGGTCCAATGGCCACCAAAATGTAGGCTGGGCAACTAAAAAAACATCAGAATGTCAGCCCTTTTTTTTTGTTTATCAGGAACACGTCTCGGCTTTTGGATCCGGAAAGTCCCGCGGAATTTCCTGTCTACTCTGCAATTATAGTGCGCCAGGGAGTGAACATAAGCAAAATTAAGTTGACTTAATGTTGAAGTCATACAATACTTCCCCCAAAAAAACAGGTTGGGACAGTTCATTCTCACTTCGGGACAATTGAAATTTATTTCTGGGACAGTACTTGGACAATAGGACTGGGACTGGGACAAACTAGAGGCGATCTTTATAATCAATGCATAACAACTGAAACAAAACCCCTACACTATCGACACCGATAACAACCTGAGTCTACATTGTATTGCAGTTGGTCGTTTGGAGTCCTTCTTTGGGAGATCATGACAATGGGTAAGTCTTATAATGTTTATTTTCCCACCTACTCTCAAGTGACTTACAATAACATGTTCATCTATCTATTACCACTCCAGGGGCAATATTTTGTGTAAAGTGTTGGGCATTCGCCAATATGACAGAAGTAAAACTATCAAAGTCATGTATTCTTCTGAACATTAGGATTTATAATACATGGGAGCACAGACTGGATATAACCACAGAAAAAAATCGAGATTCGTGCAACGTGGACGTCTCCAGAGTGGTCATTCGCCAATATAAGACAGTCCCAGCCTATAATGTCATTATTCACAACTCTTCAGGCAACCTTCCGTATGAGGGGATGAAGGGCAAAAGGGTGATGGACATGATCAAAGATGGCGGCCGGTTGGAGAAGCCAAGCAGCTGCCCGGACGAAATGTATGTAGAGAAAACAGTTCTTCATTATCTTCATTGTTTTCAAGGAGCAGGTCACCATGATAAGAAAACTGTCACTGTAAAAATGACGGAAAGTTCTACTAATTTTAAAGTTTACTGGGAATTGTGTAGTGAACACATAATCGTTGTCGAGTCCATGTTTTGTAATGACAGTACAATGTGGGCTACACAAAGGTACAGACGAGGCAATGGAACGCTAGAGCTGAACTTTTTTCAGCACTAGCTGACGCAATTTCGACCGCTGATTCAGCACTGGATCCGGAACACCAGTGCGGAGGGCGTTACTTTTGTATATTTGCGCAAATAATGATTTTTTTTTGCAGATACACCCTGATGACCAGTTGCTGGGAGACCCTCCCGGACGACAGGCCGACTTTTCCTGAACTGAGATCAAGCCTCATCAAAATTATGCAAGGCTTCAAGGTACACATGTACATGTATAGTATGGCTAGAACCTAATTGCGTAGAGCATTTAATGTTCGGAGAACAGATATATTCATTTGTAATCCATGTGAAGGGACATAATTTTTTTGTTTCCCGCGAGATATGAACATTTCCTATGAGCAAACAAATTACCTATGGAGAACTGTTTAATACATCTACAGGAGGTATAAATGTGCTTTACCTATTTCATTTTCAGACATACGCGTCACTTCTGAAGTAGAGCAAGAGGAATTGTGACATTTCTACACTACGTTCGATGTAGCTGCACAAAGTGACGATGACATATGGTGTCCTGTTTTCAACCGTTTGGTAATTTCTCATGTATAGTGGCCGCGTGAATATCAACTTTCCTAGAAAATTCCCCAGCATTCTGGTACGAAAAAAAAATAAAAAGAAGGCACTAAAAATAACATTTTTTTGTCTTAAGATTTTTAATTTGATACACGTGACTATAACAATATGTATATAAGATCACTCTATAAGAAATACGAATGTTACAGTTTTCTAAAATTAGCTTTCAAAATTTGCTATAGCTCTCTAATGCTGTATTAAATTGTTACTAGTACAATGTGTATGTGTGAGTGTATAATTAGATAGTGCTGCACTAAACTAGATATTAATTTGTTGCTTCTATCTATCGATCTATATCCTAATAAATTCAAAGCTGTCAAACTTTTATTGCACTTAGTTAAAATTTTGTATTCATCGTTATTATCGACATCATCTAAAGAAGTTCAGAGTGAAATTCAACATATACACTTTACACAACTGTTTCAAACATGTGCCATGTACATCCACACAAAACCATTGCATAGCAGGAAAACAAATGAAGATATCACACTATCCAAAATGAACCGCACAGAATGATATGTCAAAAGATTCAATTCAAACACTCAAAATCTGTCCGTAGAGCGGAAGGTGAAAGGGCGTTTGTAAATGGAGGTACAGGTGGTAGGGGGTCTATACAGATGGAGGTTTTGGTGGTGGAGGGGGAGGATATATTGGTGCAAAGTGGATATCAGGAGGTGGAGCAGGAGGAGGAGGAGGCTAGTCCGGTGGGGGAAAGGGTGAACCTGGTAGTTTCTCAGGCATGAAAGCCTTTGGACAGAGTGGTGCAAATGACGGACCAGGATACGCTATTGTGACGATGACTAAGTAGAGGCTTCAACAATGACTGTTTGATGACAGTTTTTAAACTGATTTTTATGTTTACCGAAGGAAAACATGTTGTTTTTGCTCAATTTCTTCCTCTTCTTCTTCTCCAAACTGTGACCTATGACCTGACCAATGACATGATTTGTTGACGCCTGTCACCATGGTGACTGGTGTTGGGTTACATAATGTTGCAATTTCATGGTCTGCTCTGCTCAAGTCACCATATACCAGTAGTACATGTATGTGAATGTGTTTGAGTGAGAATTAACAGAGAAGAACATATGCGAAGGTTAACATTATGCATTTGCTTTGCAAATGTTACCTTTCTAATTAAAAGTTCAAAATTCATTGTTTAAATATTCATGACTCCTACTATAGCATTTTGGGCTATAATAGGATGCCGAGACCTGTTTTATTTTTAATTTTTTTCGCCCTGTCGCTTCATCTTTTTTCTGGAAAAAATACGAGAATCAACAAATTAAATTGGTGTGGCCTTATTCTACCACGGAATAAAGTGCCCGCGAAAGTAAAGAAATTTACAGTTAATAGGAAAATTGGGCAAGAGTGATATGTTTCATCATGGAGGTAGAAAAACTTTTTTCTATCTCCATGGTTTCATACTGTGGCTACATAACAGCTTATTCGTGAAAACGTTATGTGTGAAGATAGAAATACTGTCCTGTAGCTGTATTTTCATCCATTTTTTTACCAAGATTGACATCAACGTTAGTATCCTTCGTAATTAGATAATCGAATCGTCCTTCTTCGACACATATAACGTTACTAGTAAGTGCCTGGCACCGAAACGGGCCGTCATTGGCCGTCATAATTAGATTATCAACTTGACATTAATTATGCATGGCCGTTCTGCACACCTGTGTAAAAAAAATGTTTGGTATGGTCCATTCAAAATGGCGCTTTCGTACGACGGGAATACTCTGGGCTTATTTTTTCACAACTTTCTGGGTACTTTTACTTAGTTTTAGACGTTTTCGTAAGTATAATGCCTTAGTAAGTGTGCAGCAGAATGTTTGGGAGTTTTCGCTGTGGATTTGTGCCGTTCTGGTGATGTTTTGAGGAGAAAATGCGGATTTCCTGACCTGGCGAATTTTGGAGAAGACAAAAATGGCGAGACAGTTGGGAAGAGTAGCGTGGTGTAGACTAATGGAGACGACTTCGCTCATTGTTTCAGGTAAACCAGTACATTGTTTGGCTGACATTATTCCTTAGCAACTAGTACGAAAATATCAACATATTCCGTAAGAAATTAACTATTTCAGAATCTGTATTAGGTAGCGACCGTTCCTAATTTTACATAGGCTTAGAAAAGTCCATCAAGTTGCCGCGTTTTCAACAACATTTTCAATGTGAGGTGCGCTTGTAGATTGTTAAATGTATGTGCATGTCTTTTTAGTCAGTTGTTCAGCGTTTTGAGGTTATATTTGTCGAAAGAAATTCTGCATTGACCAAACCATTTTCTCTCTTTATCTCCACGTGGTTTCAAACACCTGTTGGAATGTGCCCGTGTACATAATTTAGTTATTTTTCCCGCCAAAAATTTGCGTAAACAAGACGGGGGCCTCAAAGCTTCAGGGCGCCGAAATGAATACGATACAAAACGGTTGAAAACTAGTTAAGTCGAGTTGACCATACTTTCAAATTCGTTCTTCATAATCCTTTGCAATGTATCATTTATAATTTAAAAGCTTGTTCGTTTCCTTTTTAGAGTAATTCAGTAAATAGTAATGACCAAGCCCAAGTATTTCTGGCGCAAACACTACAGTTCAGGACTATGCTTGACGGTAGCAATTCCTGTTTTCAAAATATTTTGCGCCGATTTTTTTCGTGTTCCACATAAAGGGGGTTGATTTATTTTATTGTTGTTTCTATCCCCGTTTTTATGGTCATTATGTAGAGTTTTTGTCGAGGTATGTGTTTGTTTTAAAGTGAAGATATTTAAGGTGTGTGTGTGTTTGCATTGCTAGTTTTTAATTTGAGAACTTAATTTAAGTGTCCAACTTATAATGTATGTATGGTTAGATGAAGACTGATGCAGTAGTGAGAACTTCTGTCTGCACCTGACAAGACAGAGTGGACCAGACCAGATGATTTGAAGACCGAAGAGGAATATCAGGTGAGAAAAATCCCAGTTCTGCATTCAACCTATTATTTACTTCATGTTGTTTGAGACAGTGTGTAACTTCTAATGTCTGTATAGTTAGGTGGCTGCTGACTGATACAGTATTGAAGACTTCTGTCTGAACCAGTGACAAGACAGATAGGACCTGACTAGATGATTTGAAGATTCAAGTACAATGGTCTTATTTGAGACAAGTGTGTAACTTCTACTGTCTGTATAGTTCGGTAGCTGCTGACTGATGCAGTAGTGGTGAATTCTTCGAAAACCTGACAAGAGAAGATTGGACCAGACCAGGTGATTTAGAGACACAAGAGCAAGATGAAAACAACAACATCCACAGGTGAGACTGCTTTAGAATATCTGTTTGACTCTACCACTCTTCCCTTTAGGACATCTTACACTTTATAAAAATAACACACATGTTTTAAAATATCTTTCACATTAATTTTGTGTTGCCTTTCTTGAATAAATGTCTGGTATATAAGCACTTGTCTACATTTCTAGGAAGAGGCAAAGTACAAGGTCACAAGAGTGCATCTTTACCTGGTACCTAGTTGTCCATACATACCTGGCATCCATTGTTCTTTTATTATATAATTAGGGTCAGCAGTCCTGATGTTCCTGTCCAAACCACATACATTTACCACAAGTGCACCACACATTGAAAATGTTGTTGAAAACGCGGCAACTTGGCAAGCTTGGACTTTTCTAAGCCTAATGTAAAATTAGGGAGGACAACTTGTAAACCAAAAATTTTGGGAGGACAACTTGTAAAGGTGTCAATGCACCTGTTTTGTCCTCCCTTCCACTTGTATTTCTTGTGGTGAATTCAAATAAACAAATAAACAAACAAATAGGAACGGTCGCTACCTAATACAGAAATAGTTCATTTCTTACGGAATATGTTGACATGTTCGTTCTAGTTGCTAAGGAATAATGTCAGCCAAACAATGTACTGGTTTACCTGAAACAATGAGCGAAGTCGTCTCCATTAGTCCATACCACGCTACTCTTCCCAACTGTCTCGCCATATTTGTCTTCTCCAAAATTCGCCAGGTCAGGAAATCCGCATTTTCTCCTCAAAACATCACCAGAACGGCACAAGTCCACAGCGAAAACTCCCAGACATTCTGCTGCACACTTACTAAGACATTCTACTGACGGAAAACGTCTAAAAGTACCCAGAAAGTTGTGACAAAAATCAGCCCAGAGTATTCCCGTCGTACAAAAGCGTCATTTGAAATACAGCACATCACACTTTTATGGATTCCTTTTACAGTGCGTTGGACCTTTAAATGCAACATTCAGCTACAACTTAACTATGATCATAAACTTGCATGTTGTGTGATATACATGTAATGTCATGCTTTAGTAAGGCCAATTGCTGTTGTCAGTACAGTGACTTCTGTTCCTCTGTCTTCAAGTTGTGGACCCGAAGACCGGATTGCAGTAGGAGGAAGAACCAGACTTTGTAGGCAGGGCTGCATGAAAGAAGATGGGGAGGTGTGAGTATGGTTTCTTTGTGAACACGAGACAACACTGACACATGCACACACTAATGCACTCACATTTCTCTTTTTTCATTTAACGTTTATTGTACTCGGCAACTTCAATTGTCGCTTTAGACCTTCCTTTACACTTAAATTCTCCTGCCAAAAAACTTGTGTATCTTTGTATTAATTCCACACTAATTCCTTGTTAAGTCCATTTTCCCGCCAAAAAAATTAATTGGCACCCTCACCTGGTTAATTAATTGGATTAAGTTTTCCCGCCAAAAAACTTAGTATATAGAAGCACTCTAACCTTGAACTTGTGCCCCCCCTCTTCCTGCCCACCTCCCACACTTCTTCCACATCAGAGAATGTTAGTTACACTGTTCTCTAGACTTCTTCGAACATGTAGTCACCACACTCTCTTCTACACAAACACTTTGTTGATCGAGTGCAGTTTTTCCACCACTTAGACTTTAGAATAATCTCTCGCTCTCCTGTTCGGTCAATGCACTAAGTGTACTCCCCGGGGGATGTCTTTTCGGAGACATTGATGCTTCGACACATCAGTATACCAGTGCAATTGACCCACCAGGAGAGCGAGAGATTATTCTTAAGTCTAAGTGGTGGAAAAACTGCACTCGATCAACAAAGTGTTTGTGTAGCAGTGTGGTGACTACATGTTCGAAGAAGTCCAGAGAACAGTGTAACTAACATACTGAGTTGGGG